ATTTATTACAGAAGCCACCAAAAGCTCACCCCCCCACACACACACACTCAAACTCATATTCATATGAATCATATAAAACTGGAATTCAAACTTGATGATTTCTCCAAAATGTCTCTCAAATGGTAGTGATCATTCAGGATGTAAACAATGCTAAGGCTAGTTTCCTGACACCACATCTAGGACACTGTGTGTGTATTGAAAAGCAGAAGAACTTGATCCTTAATGCAGCATTCTTTCATAACTTCGGCAACATAGTATTGTATAACTTTCAAAAATCCTTTATTGCCGGGCAGTGGTGGCACACACCTTTGATCGCCGGAACTCGGGAGGCAGAGGCAGGCGGATTCTGTGAGTTCTAGACCAGCCTGGTCCACAAGAGCTAGTTCCAGGGCAGCCTCCAAAGCCACAGAGAAACACTGTTTCAAAAAACAAACAAAAAATCCTTTATCTTGGTAATGGAGTTAAATGGACCAAGTAAGTGTTTCAAAAAACAAACAAAAAATCCTTTATCTTGGTAATGGAGTTAAATTTTCCAAGTAATCTCATTGTTTTTTGTTTGGTTGTTTTTAAAGTGTTACTAAGACCTAATGCGCTTGCACAGATCAAGGAACTGAAGCTGAGAGAACCTGACTTTTTAAAAAAGCCTTGTTAGGGCCAAAATTTAACTCAAGGCCCCTCCTGAAGAACTACAGGAAGTTATCCTTAATGCCACTGACATCTACATCCTGTCAGCACACAGGAAGGTTCTGGGACCAACTGCAATAACAGGCACAGGACCCTAATGATGGAGAAGGTAACCCAGGAAACCCTGGGTGGTAGTGACACCACAGACCTAAACATACTATCTGACAAAAGTCACTCCTCCACTGTTATATGAAGAATATATGGAGATTACAGAGTTATCAAACTCCAGAATAAGGGAAGTGACATCATGGTTTAATACCCTCCTGGCAGCTGCAGAAATCTCCCAGACATTGTACAGACAGATGGCACCTAACCAACATGATGTGTCTGGTGATGGGTGAACATGGGCAAGAAGACAATACCAAAACAGTGGAATTTTGAGTGTGCCCTGCATAGATATCCTGGGCTCCAAATCTACCCCTGTCCCTGTGCAGTCTCTACACAGAGACCCCTGTCACTTCGTCTGGACAGAAATCAAGGTAACTACAAATGAAAAATACCCATCTCAATGAGCCTGAGAGGGCTAAAGTTAAGTTAAATATTTAAAAAAAAAAAGAAAAAAAGAAAAAAAGAGGAGAGAGAGAGAGAGAGAGA